CATTATTTTTCTCTATTAAAAAAGTCTAATAAATACGAGTTTAGATCTACAATATAGATTAGTCACAATTTTGTTCTCCTTAATTTGTTAGCACGGCGTGAATCCTACTAGGGGTTTTTAATTAAACGAGATTTTGTTATGGCAATGTCGTATATATATTCGTGTATACGTATACGTCATTGTGTGCCTCCTCGAATACAAACATGTTTAAAGAATGGGGACCGTTAATCAAACCTAAAGCTAGCTTTAAAAATTTGTACAGTATTTTAAAACATATGTAATGATAATAAACTTAAATTAATATAGTAAAATATCTTCTTGATGTCATTATAATAACAGATAGATTCCCAGTGCTTTAAATTTACTCGAACCATCCTGGCAAAATCTGTGACCACTAGCTTTAAACCTAACGTCTCGATCGATGACAGAGTCTGGTATATCATATATGTATATACATACCCTAATACAATATATATTTATAATTTATTCCCTGTTAACGTTGTGTCTCAATGTAATATAATTACTCTTAGCTCACGTAATGAGTGCAGGATTTAGATTATTGAGATTCGAATTGAATACTACTAATTAAAACTCTATGTTATACATGAATTTTACTTAGATATATTTGAATTCACCCATCTAACATATATAGGTCCAAATAAATGCGGGAGGAAGTTGTATAAAATAATCAATTAATCATTTTCTTCTTTCTTCTTGTTGGATTATAGTGATTTTCCTATCTAGGAAAATAGAGTTCCCAATTATAAGGGTTAACTGTCCCTTGACGGAAGAAATTGAATTATTTGCATCTAATCGTTTGATAAATTCATTTTGATTTTATTAATAGCACCAAATTTATTTGATTTAATTCAAAGGAAGTTGAGGCAGAAGAACATGTGTTTTTTCCACTTCTGCATTTATTTCTTTATGATGAGCCTGTCCTTTTTGTTTTTGCTCTCTTCTTATTTAATGTACCTCAAACTCCATCAAGGATATATTCATATATCACGGGTATTAATTTTTTCTATTGAATTTTTTTTTTATTTTAATGACATTACGATGAAAAATTGACCAGTACTTTTAAGCTAGGAAAAACTATTGTAACTAGCATTATACAAAAAAAACTTTAAAATATATAAATTTTTAAAACCAATAAGTTTTTTCAAATTACTGTTTTAGTGTAATTATAAAATTGTATTGTGTAAAAGGATATTTTATATAACGACTGTTCGTTTCATACCACTTACTTTATTCCTTGATACGAAACCTTTTTCAAGTATAAAAATTATAGACTTAATCCTATGTCAGACTAATAAACACACACATAGTAAAACCTCTATAAATTAATAATGTTGGGACAAGAAAATTTTATTAATTTAGAGATGTATTAATTTATCGATAAATTAATAATTATTAATTTATAGAGAGATTTTCCTAGTTTTGTAATTTCTTAAGAAATTGCTATCTAAAAATATATTTCTTTTCTTTATAAGCAATATTTTTTTAAAAAAATATACCACCTAGTTGTACCACAACGTAGATGTACTAGAATATTCCCGAATATTCCCTACTTGTACCAGTTACAACCCGTATAAAAGGATTCGAAACCTGGAGGCGCGTGCGTGCGCATGGAGCTCGCAACCACTGAGCTATTGTGTTTTTCGTTGAACACTTACCGATTTAATTGTATTTAACCCTTATCACCCGAAATCAACCTTCAATAAGGGTAATTTTGTCTTTCTACCATTGAAGAGTATTTGAGACTAAATTTTGAATCTGAGGAGTATATGAGAATTTGATCGATGGAAGAATTTATTAATTTAAAAAAGTTATTAATTTAAAGAGTATTAATTTATAGAAGTTTTACTGTATATGTGTTTTTTATTCGGAATTAAAAGTTTACTATTCAGTTTAGTTGACTTTTCTATTTTTCTAATATATCTCATGATATAATAATTTTTATCAAAAAATATTATATCAGTGTTAGCTCACTTTAACAAGAAAAAGAAGAGAAAAATTATAGTAAAGGTTTTGTTGTAAGAAATTGTATCAAATAGTAACATATTTGCATTTGCATGTGCTGTTATAAAAGCAAACTTATGACATCTCGTGTTATTATTCTGATTTAATAAACCAAAAACTAAAAAAGAAAACACACGATGATTTGAATATGTAAAATACAAACAAATGAAGCAAAAGAAATTAAGAGAGTTTGGTAATGCCAAATAGGCAATAATTAATTATGTGTGGCAATGAACAAAGCTGAGCTGTACATGTACCACACCTTTCATTCATTGGTTACCCTCTAACTGAAAGTGACACGTGTCTTAAAAATCAACAGGGCTTTTTCTGACGTGGCTGTGCATTTATTTATTGATTTGACAAGTTTAGGCTATCGTTGTCAAACAAATTAACTTAAATTTTTTTTTTGTCATATGAATTTTATTAGTAAATCAAAAAAAGATACAAGATAAAATACATATGTCCGTGGACAAAAAAAATGTCCTTAAAAACATTTGCCCAAATGAAGAAAACAAAGCCTTAAAGTACGAAAACTGATTGAAACCAAACATGAAGACAAATTTCTAAAAATAAAAATTACGACAAATAGAGAAAGCAATCTAAACACTATAATTGAACAAAAGCACGAGAGACTCCCACAATGCTTCCTTATATAACTTGTAAACGCCGGTAGCACCAATAAGACCGGATTGACCTCACACCGAAGATTAACCAGTAGCATACCGACAGAGAGGAAAGCAAGAACCTAACGCGACCAAAAACATAAATATAACTACCAACACTACTCACCAGCCAATCGAAGATAGCAAGAAACACTAGGTTCAAGGCAAAAACCTTGAAATCGACTGGAGACAAACCACGTAAGATCAACAATTCTTACACGCGGACACTCGTCGAACTAATTTCAGCTACCTACAGACATAAAGTTTACGACATCTTTGGAAGAGAAGAACTAGAGAACGATTCCACTGTTTCGACTAGAACCTAACTCCAAAACTTCCAAAGAAAACTCAAAGATAGGCTAGTAGGTGACTCATCAACAAAATCCCATCAAGATGGCTCACACCAAGAACGAACCAAGAGAAAAACGCAACCACTAACCAGCAAGAGGACTCGAAGGAGAGGTAGAACAAAGATCCAAATTCAAACCCACGAACATAGCCATCTCCATCAAATTGAGCCTCACAGACCATAACGAACTTAAAAGTTGCAACCTAAAATGATTCCATCTAACCCATAGAAATAGAAGGCATGCTTACCGGACTAGAGAACTGACAAGACCACGGTCATTGATTCGTGAACCACCAAAACTCGAGATCTGTTTATTAAGTAGAGCCACACAAAAAAAAAAGTAAGATCCGTTTCAAATTTGCTCTCACAGTACGTAATTCTATTTTATGTTTAAAATCAACCGAGACACTAATATCCTATTTAATTATCTCGAAATAAAGACAAAAAAAAAAAAAAAACTTTGTGTTTAGTTGATTAAAAATCAAAAATTAAAGCACGATTCTTGTCTTGCTCCTTACAGCTTACAAGATAATTAAGAACCAAATCACTTTTTTGGTTAAAACAAATCATAATGTTAGAGGCCTTAGATGTTAGAGATACTGGTGATGTTACCAATTTCCCCTTAATAATCTACTTAATTACAGTAAAACCATACTTTGATGTGCCTATTGCGGCATCCATTCTATCCAATGACCTTATGCACTACTTTATTTACAGACAATTTTATAAAATTCCATAATTTTAAGTTTTTATTCCAAAATTTTTTATTCCAAAAATATCATTACTAGTTTTTTCATCAAATTACTGATTTAGTGTAAGTAAATCGACTCAGTTTTTTAAATAATCTTTTGGACACACAGAACACATATATACAGACACACGTCCATTACCCAAGTATCATGTTGGTTTGCATATACTCTAGTTTTATATATATATATAATCCGGGTAAAATTTCAATTTAAGTAAACGCATGCATGAGATACCTAAATGATAGATCATGAAACAGAATTAGGGTATATATATCCATTGTTTATGAAATTCAACGTGTTCGATATTCATCGTTGAACTGGTATAACATGCAAAAAGATAATGTACCCACTATCTAAGCATTATAAAGTGCCACTATTAGCAAAAATATTCACATGGCCAAGACTCAAACGTCGCATTACCAAAACATTACATGCTCAATTGTTGAATTTTCTAGCTAAATTGATAATTAATATCAAGGAGGAAAAATAGAGGTAAAATAATTGGCAATGATCATAATCGATATGGGTGTCTAAAAAAAAACGCAATCAGATCGTGCGACAAGGTTACAGTAATATAGATATGTTTCTTTCAAAAATCAAAACGACTAAAACGTAGAAGTTTACAGAATTAATTAACGAGTAAATAGCATGTTAGCGAATGTTCTTTAATTTATACACTAGCTAGTACTATAAATCACATCTTATTTCATCAATAGTCCAAATTAAATTTATATGGTTTAGATCATAGAGACCCTAAATATCCAAGACTAACAAATTCTAAACCTCCAAAGTTATTTTAATTAATTGGGAGTATATGATAATATAAAGTCTTGACATTGAAACGAAATCTTAGTCTAAATTACTACTTTCCCTTACAAGGAAAAAAATTGTTAGTTATATGAAATGTTGAAAAATACATAGTCACGCATGCTAAAAAAAAAAAAAAAAAAAGTTAAAAAATACATGGTCACGCATGCTAAGTATATTATTGTATTATCAACTACACAAAATAGATGTTATGTACTATACGACATCATGTAGTTAAAACCATAGACATACAATTCCAGTACAACGATCGATTGATAACGGCACCGTTAAAAAAAAAGAAAAAAACTTGTTAATTTTAAATGGTGGATGCATTCATAGGTTAAACCTAGAATGTTGTTAAGAAGACATTATTTGATTAGTTGATTGAAAAATTAGGGAATGACAGTGTGAAACCTAGAATATGGCTATGTAGATATTCATTGAAGAGAGAGAGAGAGAGTAAGAGAGAATATGTGTAAAAGAGAAAATGGTGCCAGCTATGAATTTGAAGGATCAAAGCTTTCTCTTATTAAGCTGTCATCTCTCTCTCTTCCTTATAGGGCTCTGTTTCTCTCCACATTCACGCACACAGTGTCCCTCTCTCTCTCCACATTATTAAATCACTTGTCTTTCCTTTCTTCAAAACTTGGAAGAGAAGAAGCAAGGAATTTCGAGATTTCTTTTTTTTGATGATGATTTAATCGGTGCATCAAATAAAAAGCTTCTTCCTCCAAACAAACAAACAAACAAACATCAATGGCGGACGTTAATGGCGATAAGAAGCACTGGTGGTTCACTCACAGAAAGGTAAAAGGGATCTCTCTAACTAACTTGGAAATAATTTCTCGATTCAAAGATCATCAATCATTTTTCTTCCTTTTGTGTGTGTGTCTCTCTCAGCTTGTTGATAAGTATATCAAGGATGCAACAACTTTAATGGCAAGTGAGGAGGCAAACGACGTCGCTTCAGCTCTTCCTTTACTAGACGCAGCGTTATCCATATCCCCGCGTTTGGAAACTGCGTTAGAGCTTAAGGCTAGATCTCTGCTCTTCCTCCGTCGTTTCAAGGATGTCGCCGATATGCTTCAGGATTATATCCCCAGTCTTAAACTCTCCCTCAACGACGAAGAAGGATCCGCTTCTTCTCAAGGCTCTTCCTCCGACGGACTCAACCTTCTCTCCGACGCCTCTTCGCCGGGCTCGTTTAAATGCTTCTCTGTTTCCGACCTGAAGAAGAAAGTCATGGCAGGGATTTGTAAAAAATGCGACAAACAAGGGCAATGGAGGTCATTTTTCAACTCTTTATTACTTAATTACTTTCTACCAAAACGCGGTCGTTGTTGATTTTAAAACGCTGTTTAATTCAGGTATGTAGTGTTGGGTCAAGCTTGTTGCCATCTAGGACTAATGGAGGATGCCATGGTTCTGCTTCAAACCGGTAAACGCCTCGCCTCCGCCGAGTTTCGTCGCCGGAGTATTTGCTGGTCCGACGATAGCTTCCTTCTCCTCTCCGAATCCTCCTCTGCTTCTTCTCCACCACCCGAGAGCGAGAATTTCACCCATCTCCTCGCTCACATCAAGCTTCTTCTCCGTCGTCGCGCCGCTGCAATCGCCGCTCTCGACGCCGGACTGTTCTCCGAGTCGATCCGTCACTTCTCCAAGATCGTCGATGGTCGTCGCCCTGCGCCTCAAGGATTCCTCGCCGAATGCTATATGCATCGAGCCGCAGCTTATAGATCCGCCGGTAGAATCGCGGAGGCGATCGCCGATTGCAATAAAACCCTAGCTCTTGAACCTTCGTGTATCCAAGCGTTGGAGACGAGAGCCGCGCTCCTGGAAACGGTTAGGTGTTTTCCAGACTCGCTTCACGATCTAGAACACTTGAAGCTTCTCTACAACACCATTTTACGCGATCGGAAGCTTCCAGGCCCGGTGTGGAAGCGGCACAACGTGAAATACAGAGAAATTCCTGGGAAATTGTGCGTTTTGACAACGAAAACACAGAAACTTAAGCAGAAAATCGCAAACGGAGAAACTGGGAATGTCGATTATTACGGCTTGATCGGAGTCAGACGCGGATGCACGAGATCGGAGCTCGATCGAGCTCATTTATTGCTGTGTCTCAGATACAAACCCGATAGAGCCTCGTCTTTCATCGAAAGGTGCGAGTTCACCGATCAAAACGACGGCGATTCTGTTAGAGATCGAGCAAAAATGTCGTCTCTATTACTTTACCGTTTGATTCAGAAAGGATACTCTGCCGTGACAGCGATCATAGCCGAGGAGCAGAGGAAGAACACCATTGCTCAAGCTCAAAAGATTGAAGAACGCAAACCGGTGGAAAAATCAGTTCCCATCAAGATAACCGGAAACGCTGAACCGAAACCGGTAAATTCCAATGCGTACCAAGGAGTTTTCTGTAGAGATCTCGCTGCTGTTGGGAATCTACTAACCAGGGCTGGTTTTAACCATCCAATCCCGGTTAAATACGAAGCTCTCACCTGCTAAAAATGTTCTACCAAGTCAGCGATCGAAAATGACGTTTCCGTAGATTCGTCTTCGTACAGAAAAACAAATCATTCAGCCGTCAAAAATAAGAAATATATATACATTTGATGTATGAATACAAATGAAACAAATGTATTTATGTTTGGAAGATTATTCCACTACAGGAAATTTTTGTCACTTATATCTTCTTCAATGTTCGTCTCTTTGTTTCTTCTTCTTCTTCATGTGCATATATAATGACAGAAGCTTAATTTGTTCACGTAAATTAAAATACTATCAAAACTTTTTTTCTTATTATAATTAAGCCAATGAGCTCTACTTTAGGTTTTTTCTTCTTCTTTTATTATTGAGTTCTCGAGATTTGCCTAGAAAATTAGTCGATGAGTCTGACTCACGTCAGTAATATTCGGAAGAGTCCTTATCTATAAAGTTTGGCTGCCATTTAACGGTATAGGGATGATTAATTAGGCAAATAAAATAAAGATGTCAAAAAGTGAGACTAAATAAAACTATACACTTGCTGTATAATCATATTAATACTCCTATCATGTAAAGCTCTGAATATTTATATAGTGAGATGGGGGTTGGCATTATATGGGGAAAACGATCTATTTCCCCACGAGAACTATTCACATCACACCAGATCCACACCAATCTATGATCTCGTTCTAAATATCCCTAAAAAAATATTTCTCAATCTATATCATTCCGAAACTATAGTTTAAAACTTATATCTCCCCAAAATAAAGAGTTTTCACCTAATTACCCACAAACATCGGTTTTGCTCGGTTTGTTATTTTTTAAACCGACTACTAAAACACTAAACCGAATAAAACCTAATCTAAACCAATTACACCATATTAAACCGGACCAAGAAAATCCACCCAGCCCAACTTTCTTCTTCACCCAAAAAAGACGAAAAAATTCTCTCTTCTCTACACTCATCTTCTTCGACAATCTGTTAATTCCTCTTTTCCCTTCTCATTGGTTCTTTTTAACGTATTTGATATTTCCAACAAAACTTAGAGATTCGTCCATTAATTGGGCATGGATATACTCCATTTTCTCCAGTTTGACAGAGAATTAAAAGCGACTCCAATTCGAAGCGACTCGACAAAACCCAGAAAGTCGTAATCATGCCGGAGATTCTGAGGTGGAGCTTCAGTAGATGACGGAGACGGTGGTGGCGGCGGTGACATTTGATTGGATATACTAGACGGTGGCGGTGGAGCAATTACCTTCGTGAATTGACATGAAGGAAGAGAACATGGTGGTGGCTGTGGTAACGTCTGGATATGCTATTGATGTGGAGAGATGGAGAAGAAGAAGAGGACAATGATGAAGAAGAAGATGATGGAGACGAGGTTATCTAACAATGATGGTGGATGCGATGTATGTTCGATTTTGGAAGATGATGGCAACAATCAAACAAATCTGAGCTCGTAGAGTATCATTCTTTTTCATCTTCATCCGCTGACATTTCAATATTTCATTGTCAATTTCAATCACAGACTCATCGATTTCTTTTTCTTCCTTTCAATTTCATAGATATGTGGTTTGTTTCTAATTAGGTTATGGTTTTTTGGTTCTTAGATGTTTATGAACATGGATGCTTTTTTTTTATGAGAATTTGTTTGAATTTTAGTAAATTTATGAAGTTTTCTTGACTAATTATCATGTTCAAGTTTATGGGTTAGTTTTAATTTGTATGATTTTCTCGTTAATAAACGTTTTGTTGCTTGAAGAATCGGGTGAATAAGAAGAAGATAACAGGTAGGATCATTTTGGGTCTGGTCGGATTTTAATTTGGGTTGATATCAAATTTAGGTAGTTTGGTATTCGGTTTACAAACTAAACCGATTAAATCCACACTTGTGGAGATATAAGTTTTAGACTATAGTTTCGGGGTGATATAGATTGAGAAATATTTTTTCAGAGATATTTAGAACGAGATCGTAGATCGGTGTGGATCTGGTGTGATGTGAATAGTTCTCGTGGGAAAATAGACCGTTTTTCCGCATTATCTGATAGGAACAATTTGACAAAAAAAATATATTTGATACGAACAGTAATTGTATGGTTATAATTTTCACAAAATTTATTTTTTTATTCTTTATAAAACAGTTTTACAACTACTTATTAGTATAAAATACGGAAGATGCAACTGGCCATTGCCGAATACTTTTCACAGTATATTGCTCATCAACCGCATGATGATCATCACTGGATTGCACAAAATATTTTGTGATTTGTGTGAATAATTATTTGATTAATATGTTAACTAGTATAATATCGTGATTGTTTTTATATATTATATGTTAAATATATATTTATCGTATCAAACCAGTTATCATATCAGATAAACCAGTTTTCATGTCGGTGTAGTTACACATGTGCCAAAGGTACTGTATATGATTCTCTAAATCCGGATGAGCAAATTCGTTGGCATAATGTACCACCATTAGCCATTAGGCTTATTACAAGTCCCGGGGGCGCTCTGTTGTATCTATATCGTGACATGCTGAAGGCCTTCGAGGAGACTTTCCCATTGATATTCCTGTATAAAAACATATTTTTGGTTAAAATTTCATATTTCTGTTTTAATTATATACTATACTATTCAGTAATGCTTGGGTCTTGTTCAGTTTTTACTCTTTCAAATTAAATATCCTTTACAAATTTACAAAAAAAGTTTTTTTTCCTTGTAAATTTTTTTTTTTTTTTCAAAAAAAAACTGAACAAATAAATTTGCTGCACCACATTCCACACACACATATATATATATATATATATATTTCCACGGAATTATTTTTTCAAAAATTTCTAGAGGCAGACATCTAAAAAATTTTCGAAAATGATTGGGTGGCTAAGATTTCTTATCCACTAGAAATCCAGTGAGTCTCGATAACTCTCTTCTCTGCTCTAGTCTTGTCTTCTATTATGCAAAAGGTCTTCTTGGCCATGGATACTTGTGCTCTAGTTATCCATCAGTCTCTGTCTCGCATCAAACTTTCTCCTCCCAAATCTTCTCCTTCTGGTTTCTCTCTTGAATCTTTACCGATCAGACGGATCCAGCTGTGTTTCCGAGGAGCTATATGTGCCGCCGTACAAAAAAACTACGAAGAAACGACCTCCTCAGTGGAAGAGGAAGACGATGATGATGAGTCATCGTACGGAGAAGTGAAGAGGATCATTGGAAGCCGAATGGCGGCGGAATTAGAAGCCATGGAGTACCTTATCGAGTGGAAGGACGGCCATTCTCCGTCGTGGGTTCCATCGAGCTACATCGCAGCAGACGTGGTGTCGGAGTACGAGACACCCTGGTGGACGGCAGCTAGGAAAGCCGACGAGCAGGCCCTGTCACAGCTTCTGGAGGACCGAGACGTCAACGCCGTAGACGAGAACGGCAGGACGGCTCTGCTTTTCGTGGCAGGTCTGGGGTCGGACAAGTGCGTAAGGCTTCTGGCGGAGGCTGGAGCTGATCTCGACCACCGAGACATGAGGGGGGGCTTGACGGCGCTGCACATGGCGGCTGGTTACGTGAAGCCGGAGGTGGTGGAGGCGCTGGTGGAGCTAGGCGCTGATATTGAAGTGGAAGACGAGAGAGGGTTAACGGCGTTGGAACTAGCGAGGGAGATTCTGAAGACGACGCCAAAGGGGAATCCGATGCAGTTCGGGAGGAGAATTGGGTTAGAGAAAGTGATCAATGTCCTCGAAGGACAAGTGTTCGAGTACGCGGAGGTGGAGGAGATCGTAGAGAAACGAGGGAAAGGCAAAGACGTTGAATATCTGGTCAGATGGAAGGACGGTGAAGATTGCGAGTGGGTGAAAGGCGTACACGTGGCGGAAGATGTGGCCAAGGACTACGAGGATGGGCTGGAGTACGCTGTAGCGGAGAGGGTGATCGGGAAGAGGGTGGCAGACGATGGGAAGACCATCGAGTATCTTGTCAAATGGACTGATATGTCTGATGCCACTTGGGAGCCTCAAGACAATGTCGACTCTACACTTGTTCTACTCTACCAACAAGAACAACAACAACAACAACCAATGAACGAATGATTGATTTTCATGATGATATTCTTCTCAATTTGCCTTTTTCTCATATGCGTTGGTTCGTCTCACCGGTTCGGTTGGTACGTACCGGTACATTTTCATTTTCTTTTTAGATGTTATGGCTTTTGGGGACATTTATTTGATTTTAAAAGTATACATCGTCTTAGGATTGTCTCATAGCCCATTTACCTTTAATTGGGCCTATAACTATCATATAAGTAGTTATTTGATTTTAAAAGTATACATCGTCTTAGGCTTTTCTTTGTCTCAAAGCCCATTTACCTTTAATTGGGCCTATAACTATCATTACCAACCCTACGAGTACGACGCGGTGATAACGACAACTTCTGAAGAGAGATAATGTATAACTGCACTTTGCGATTAAGGAAATTATAGAAAGATACAAAGTCTGAATAAATGACAAGAAAATATGAGTTAGTAGTATCCATTCTTCTCCACTTTCGACATCAATTTTTTTTTTTTTTTTTGACGATATTCAATGCATTGCGTCTGTATGAGAGAAATTTTGGTTTGTCAGTTAAATGGCTACACTTTTATTATTCTGAGCATCTAGATTTTCAGTGCATGTGATGTTACGTTGATGGACATAAGGAGACAAAAAGGACGGAGATGATTAGTACACAGTTTCGTTTCTTTATGTATACAACGATATATCGCCTATTTTTCCGTTTGTAATTTTCCTCTTAATTCGAGAGGGGCCTCTAGTCATGTGTCACTTACAGTGACATGAACGGATGAGAAAAGTTTCTTTTTGTAAAACGACATACGTAAATCAACTAAATAAATTAACTTAATGTAACAACCAAATAACTTTTGTACAACAGCCAAACAACAGTTATGTATATATAGATTAGAGAAAGAGAAAACAAGGAATTAGGTCGATTAACCGCGACCACCACGGCCACGACGACCACATTCGCCACGTCTTCCATTCGATTAATATACATTGATGCCAAATATATATTTTCACTGGGTTTTATACATACTATCAGACCACAAAAGACATCACGTCACAGTTTACAGTTAACAACACTACATATTCCAGATTTTGTATGAAACGTAGGTTTATATATGAGACCATTTAAACCGACAAAAATGAAGCAATTAAAGGATAGTGATATGGTTTGTAACTTTGTATTGTATGTATTTTAGTTGATGTGTGTAATTGGTTGGTAAGGTATAAATTAGTATTACGATAAATGACTTTTCTTCCTTTTTTCTTTCAAATTGAACGAATCTCTATTTCACTTTTTTAAAAAACAAATTTTAAGTTACTTAAATTACAAAATACCGAGTTTTTATATATATATATTAGAAATTAAATTGGGTTTCAGTCCAAAATTTTCTAGTTATAGCCTTATATGAAAGAAAATGAAAGAGTTGCTTTGAAAATATTGAATCCATTTTTATATTTTTTAATATTGAATAGTATGTACTAAAAGTCTTTCTTTAGTAGTCCAATCTAAATACGAACGGGAAGTACCAAAACTATACGAAATGGCAAATAATGACATGTGGGGAACACGTAGTTAGATGAGCAGTAAATGGGAAACATATTTTGATGGTTGTCCTCATATTTTCGTGTATCGAGTTAGATATGGAAACCTGTGATATTTGATTCTCAAAGATTCCATACGATTCCGTCGAATATAATTGATAGTATTTCAGTATTTTTGACTGGCAGAAAATATGGTAGACGATACAAATTGATCGCCCTAGGGTGTTGTATATATTAACAAATTTAACTTGTTTGCTTAATTAGGACCATCTGATGACTTTATTTTAAGTTCAAATTTAATGGACCTCTCTTTCTTGAACATTTTGTGCATATATACATATTACAAAGTAAAGACTTAGAGTTTTACACGAAGAATAAATTATATCTTTGACAACAAAAAAAATGAAGAATAAGTTATAGAACTTTTTTTTTTTTATTAAAATTTTTATAAGAATTTCCTTTAATTATTTTAGTACAGACCAAAAATTTTATAATATTTCTGGTAAGATCCATAATACATAAATCATCGTTTTATAGAATTTGTTGGTTCAATATTATCCTTTTTGATCTCTCAGAGTGTAATTTTCGTTCTTTAACAAAAATAATGTAATTTGAGCTTTAGAGTTCTTTTGTGTGTGTTAAGAGAATCAATACTTTTTTACTAGTTTGTCACGACATCTCATAACCTAATATCCATCATCAGGTATCAAAAGACAAAATATAATGTGTTTTTGTGACTTTAGTCTCTTTTGTTCAAACTTCAAAGTACTGTATATCGTTTGTGAGTGCACTTAATTCCTTGTGTTCTTGCGATATTTAGATTAGTGAATTTTGTGGGAATCGTTAAGAGTTAAGATGCTAACGAAAATTTACACGTGTTTACGAACGCACACGTGTTTTGTAGCTCGAACAAAAGACCATCTGGTCAACAGACTATGATCCGGCTAATTTATATATAATATCTATATATACATTTTTGGATGACTTTTAGCAAATAAATCCTGGAGTTGGAATGTATTTACGGATGAATGCCATTGGCATTAATTATTTAAATTTGAAAAATATTAATTAAAGATATTACCAACACGATTTCGAGAATCATAAATTCATATCTTCCTTAATTTTCTGAGTCATTAATGTGATAATCTTTAGGAAATATTTCTCTGTAATGGAGCAAATCAAATAGAAAAATATAATATTCGTTAAAACCGAAGCAAATACCAAATACTGTTTTTTTAAAAGTTGGGTATTTTTTCTATATATATTAGAATATATATATATATATATATATATACATATCATAGTATAGTTTGTGTATTTGTATATTTTGGGCTTGTGTTTTTTTTTTTATTTTTTGGGCTTGTGTTTTTTTTTTTGGTGAGCTTATGAGCTTGTGTTTGGGATTTATTTAAAAAATAAAAAATCAGCATCCCTTAAATATTAAATAAATAATAAGAAGTGGACCGTGGACGATTCAGTTTCTCAAATTTTAGCATTTTCTTCCTGGATTTACACAGAGTTATGTTTTGATTAGTGGAATTTTAAATTATCGGGTTTTGGTTTTTGGAATTAGTTTGATGGCATGTTCTTGATCGGTGATATCAACAATGGTTACGTTTGTTTTTTTGGAACTTATTTTGAAAATATGTCAAACAAAACTTTGAATATATGATATTTTGTTATTTTATATAGTCTACAGTTTTTTTTAATATTTAGATGTACCGAAGCGGATATCCGTAAATATCACAAAAAAATCCGGATATTCGAATTTCCGGATATCCAGAAATTTCCGAATCGAAGCAAATCACAAAATCAAGTATTTGGTTGAAACGAATCGAATATCAAATATCACAAAAATTCCGGATATTTGATTCGTGCCCAGGCCTACTACGTATTCACGTGACCATCAACAATTAAAAAAAGTGATGTCAATGATCTCAAACTTAAGCGCTCACGTCAGAGAAGAGAACCTGTGAAAGGCAAAGGAGAAGGAGATAAAGAGAAACATAAAAATATCTAATGTGTTAAAAAAGTGATGTCAATGATCTCGGCACACACTAGAATTAGTGTCTACGAGAACCACGACGAGCCTGCACGGACCGATCACGAGTCTCTCGACGGTGAATAAGCCACGACTTCAGTCTCCTTATAACCCAACGTGGCCCTTCTTACACCGCACACGTGTCATCATCTCCTTCTTCCTCAAACCCGCGAGCTCTTTAATCCTCTTTTAATTAATTAATTGTATGTCTATCGTCTTCCCCTATATATACCTAAATCAGTCGCTTTTTGCTTCTGCTGTCTGTCACTCAGTAACTTCTCTTTCTCACTTACACACTCTCTCTCTCTCTCTTTCCGTTGCTTGACTTTGTGGTCAGCGTAATAAATACATATAACCGCCGTATAAAATGGGAAGAGCGCCGTGTTGCGAGAAGGTCGGTATTAAGAGAGGGCGGTGGACGGCGGAGGAGGACCAGATTCTCTCCAACTACATTCAATCCAACGGCGAAGGATCTTGGAGATCTCTCCCCAAAAATGCCGGTAATAACATTTTACACATTTATTAACAATATCATGCAGCACTAACTTAATTTAAGCTATAACAATGTATTTATGAGAGGCAGAGTGAACTAATCGTGGTTCTTGTCGTAATCTTCATGAAACATGGATTCTTAGTCAGTTTTTTTTTTTTAATAATAAATTTTAGTAAGGTTAGAATATATAGAAGTTAAATTGCAAGCCTAATTAATATTTGTTACCATTTTATTTCAGGTCTTTGGTTTTTTTTTTTTTTTTTTTGTTCTCACAGTCACAGTCACGGTGGGTTGTGAAATGTACGTATATATAAAATGCTGCCAAGTGCATGCTTTAAAGGGTAGGGTTATGTTATAGACTTATAGTATACGGACAAATGTTTAAAATGAAATATAAACAGATGCGTATTTATGTATTTTTGTCCGTTGCATTTCATTTCAAGAATCAGATCAAAACCATATGAGTTGTTTGATTTGATTTCTAACCGCTCTTTTACTACAAGGTTAATTAATGCAGTAGTTGAGAATTTTTTTGTAGTTGTGATATATGCATAAGATATACCAATACAATGATCAAAATGCTAAGAATCTCGTGAGCAGTCACACATCAGACCTGAGTTTAAATTAATAAATACCTTAAAACTATATAAACAGATATTCTTCTTACGTCTGATTCTATATCTAAAATATGACGTGTATTATTATATTGTTTTCTGGAAAAGGATTAAAAAGGTGTGGAAAGAGCTGTAGGTTGAGATGGATAAACTATCTTAGATCCGACCTCAAGCGTGGGAACATAACTCCAGAAGAAGAAGAACTTGTTGTTAAATTGCATTCCACTTTGGGAAACAGGTACTCTATTATTTTACTTTATTTTCCAAACCTCTATTCGTTTAACTTGTTTTCATTTTCCCCCATTTATATTCGTACAAATTGTTTTTATGCAATGTATCATATAATAATAATATCATGTCGACCAAGTAAGTTAAGCTTTGTTATTAAGATGGGTTAATGACAATTATTCTCTCTATTACTTTATAATTTTCCAAAAAAAAAAGCACATTTTTATGGTTGGGAAATTTAATTTAAAGTCGATTACAGAAGTTAGAATGGTAAAAGATTATTTTATCGTAAAAAAAAGAAGAAAAAAAAAAAGATTATTTTATCGTCGTGGGTCTCTCTCTAACCATTGGGGTGTTAGACTTTTTCTCTTTTAGTTGAGACAAACTAAATGTACCCTTATTATTTCACACTTCGTATATTACATAAGCATTAATAGGAACACAGTTGATATTACACATGTGCATCTGTATTACAAGTTACAACACTTCAAATAAATCAAATACAATGACATATATGTGTTGCAAATTTTATTTTTAATAAAAACTACAAAACATAATTAATCTTCATTAAAAAGCGAGGATCTGTGTTTTTTTTCTTTCATTATTACTCAAAACGTTAAACTAGTATAAGTAATCGATAGTAGTGTCCGCTAATATAAATCCAATATTGGAAAGCGGACAAGGAACCCAACGAGAGTAGTACGAATTAGTAGTCATCGTCACTCATTATTGACAATGCTTGAGGGATTTCTAGTATATGTTTTGATTGTAATGAATAGTAATATATTTTCTAGAAAGCATGATTCGGTCAGCAGTCATATCAACATGGCAAATCATATTTAGAACTATTCTAATGATTCCCATTGGGCCACGAGGTTCTCTTATTCCCCGGAAATATATTAAATTCTATTAAAAGCATCTCTAATAGGAGAGTTCTCTCCGTGAGCTTTCCCAAATTTTTTATTATAAATTTTGAGAAAGTGTTAGATAAAAACTTGATTTTTTTAAAAAATTTTTTGTGTCCAATGGTAGGTTCTCTAGTGAGGTTCTTAGGAAAAAAAAATTTATAAAAAATTGTATATCATAAAAATTAATAATTATTGTATTTCATAAAATATTAAACATACATTATTTTCAAACATTTTTTAAAAAAGTGGAATACTACACTTAAACATATAGTTGACCATTGCGATATTTTTGCCATATATGCTCAACCAACTAAGCTTTCAATGCAAACCACGATCACGAATTTGATTTCAAATACCCATCATATTCCCGAGATTTGTAGGCATCTCTGTAGAATACGCTAAATCGACTTATTAAAGAACTAGTTTTTGATGTGATAATTTGATGTCTCCCAAAAAAAAGCTTATTAGCTAGAGAACTAGTTTTTGTGGGAAATTGTTGGAAAAAAAAAGGGAAAAACAAGAATAAGAATAGCAATAGTATTTAGGTGATCGTAAAAAAAGAAAAAAAAAGAACAATGGTATTTTTGGTTGGTGCCTTCTTGTAAATTTTGGAGTAACAATAGAAAAAACAAATAAGAAGAACAATGATAATGGAATTTTGGTGTTCTTTGTAACAAGAAAAAAAAAAGAAATCGCAATAGAGGGGAGAGAAAAGTTCCGAAGAAAACAAAATAAAACGAGACAGCTTTTTTTTTCTCTTTTGTTTTACTGCTCCACCCACTCTTTTGCTGACACGTAGGAGGTTCTCTTCATTTCTCAAAAGCATCCGAAGAGAATCATTCTCTTCTATTTTCCTCCTTTTGAATTATTTTTGGTCAATTATTCAAGAGAACCCCTAATTTTTTTTAGACAACCTCCATTGGAGGTGCTCTAAGGTTGCTTAAAATTGTGAATAGACGATTACTAATTGATTAATGTAATGCATGTAGGTGGTCACTAATTGCTGGTCATCTTCCAGGGAGAACAGACAACGAAATAAAAAATTATTGGAACTCTCATCTCAGCCGTAAACTCCACAACTTTATTAGGCAGCCGTCCATCTCTCAAGACGTCTCCGCCGTAATCATGAACGCTTCTTCAGCGCCACCGCAGCCGCAGGCAAAACGCAGACTCGGGAGAACAAGTAGATCCGCCATGAAACCAAAAATCCACAGAACAAAAACTCGAAAAACAAAGAAAACATCTGCACCGCCGGAGCCTAACGCCGACGTGGCGGTGGCTGAGGAAGGAGCATTAATGGTGGAGTTAAGTGGAGCCGAGGCTGAGCTAGGACCATGTGACTACTATGGAGATGATTGTAATAAAAATCTCATGAGCATTAATGGCGATAATGGAGTTTTAACGTTTGATGATGACATCATCGATCTTTTGTTGGACGAGTCAGATCCTGGCGACTTGTACACAACGTGCGGTGGTGATGGGGAGTTGAATAACATGCGAGACTCTGAAGGAGCCAGAGGGTTCTCGGAGACTTCGAACCAAGGGAATCTCGACTGTCTTCTTCAGTCGTGTCCATCGGTGGAGTCGTTTCTCAACTGTGACCACCAAGTTAACGATGCGTCAACGGATGAGTTTATCGATTGGGATTGTGTTTGGCAAGAAGGTAGTGATAATAATATTTGGCATGAGAAAGAGGGTCCCGACTCAATGGTGTCGTGGCTTTTGGACGGTGATGATGAGGCCACGATCGGGAAAAGTAATTGTCAGAACTTCGGAGAACCGTTGGATCATGACGACGAAAACGCTTTGGTCGCTTGGCTTCTGTCTTGATGATATTGATTGATCCGTTAAGTAATCTTTTTTTTTTTGTGTATTCACAGTTTGAATCTATTCCACGTCGCATCATATCTTCAACTTATGTGCGTATGCCCTTCTCTTCGTTGTTTGGTTTATTTTGGAAAGTTTAGGATCTAAATATTAGTCCATTAGTTAGAATTATATGTATAATGCAATAAAACTCATGGGATGCTTGTATTAGAAGGTTAAAATATTGCATTCGTTGTTTTAGTTGAAGAATTCAATTAATCTGGTATTTTTGTTTGTAACGTATTTACTATTGTCATGTAATCTAATAAAGAAGGTACGAAATGTAGGTGAACATTTGTTTGGGTTGTATATTTCTATTGACATTAAATACGCCAAATTAGAAAAGAAATCCTTTAGTCGGAAGCATAAAGTTGTATGTACCTCTATCGGAAAGTAAAATCACGTGTTCCTGAACTGGTAATCAACCTCATCTCCTTATACCTAATACTACATATCATCGTCAAACAATAGGAGTAACCACGACAACTATCATTGTTTTTCTCTTTTGATTGCCGGCCAAAAATTATTACCTCAATCATTCTGAAGCGAGTAAACATAGTTTTTTTTTCTTGTAAACCAACATAAAGCTGCATCACATGATTCACATCTGCGAATCATCAGTTCATCACGTGCCATTCAAGTGACTATTGGAACGTCAAACGTGACATGATCGAATCTTCACATTGAGTACTGTTCTAACTTCTTTGTACGAAACTCGAAACAAGTAGATATTGAATTAATATGGACGTTGGAACAATAAAATTAGTTCTTGTCCTTCTTATTGTAGAGACATGAAATTAACTTAATTCTGTAAATGAGTAGTAAGTAATCTATATATATATCTATATATATTGACAACAAATAATACTAATAGATACGACCATTCTTTTATAATCCTATATGCGACCTTCTAATGTAAATGTAATCATGGTTTAAGAGTTTAGAATCTTGAACTCCACAATTTTTTTATGAAAAAAAAAAACATTTTCAACCATTTCTAACTAGTGATTAGATGACCACTAGCAAGCATATACATCAACGACTTAATTTTTATAAACGCTATAATATAAAAGGGACCTAGACGTGTTCATTTTGTGGGCAACGGCCTACGCATTAAATTTATGTTTCGAAGATTTATGAACAGAAGGCAACTTGGCATGTAAAAATAAAGGAAAATGTTTTTTTTTTAATAACGCATAATACAGACAATAAGGGAGAAGTAAAAAATTGAAGGAAAAAAAAAGGGTAAAGTAAAAAGATCGCTTTCTCTTAATAAGTCCGACTTGGTTCCACGGTATGTGGAATGCCCACGTGATGTCATGTACTTCTACATCTTGTCTACTCTAATGTTTTTTTTTTTTGAAAAACCTCATAGTGATATCTAAAGTTTTTAAAAAGTTCCTGATATCTCTCTAAAAAAAAAAAGTTTAAACAAAGTTCCTGATATCTCTCTAAGAAAATTATTAGTATGCCTTAGCATATAATTTTCTCGACACGCAAACTGAGGACATTGATAAAAAAATAACTGAATTTATATGGTAATGGCATACTAATATATAGGATATAGTTCATACACAGCCAAACTTTTGTAATTTTATCTGTGTATTAGGAGATCTGTGTATTAGGAGAATCTTCAAAGGGAATGCACCTTAAAGTCATGTTTTTTGAGTTTTGATTTTGGAGAGAAGACTAATTTTACATTCTTTTGATCTTCCGCCGAAGAAATTATTGGCCAGATTTCAAAAACATTTCTTACTATATATCAAACTTTCAAACTTTTAAAAAGAAAATTTCAATCAAAGTCTCTTAAAATAACAATGTCAAAAAAATCTTCCCCATGTCGTTTTTGGGCTTCCTTACTTACCGTAAGCCCATTAATCAGCCTCTTATGAATGCGGATTAGATTGTCAAATTCTTAAAATAAGGGCGTATTAACGCAAGTAAAGAAAACATAGGGACTTCCTTTCTCTATTTAGGAAAAGACTTTTTCAATTGTATTGTCCGTGAAATTATGTGGAGAGCTAAGCCATTCATAGTCCGCCATGTAACCCAGCCACGTAATTAGAACACTCCATCACCGTTCGTTTTAATATGTGATTAAATCGACGATTGAGATCACGCCATGTCATTGTCTTTTTTTTGTTTTCCTTTGTATCTTCTTCTCTAAGAGAAGAACGTTTTTAATAAACAGAGAGAGAGCAGAGAGCACTTGTTTGTTCTAAAGATCAAAGCGAAAAAAAGATAATGGCGAAATCTCAGATCTGGTTTGGCTTTGCGTTACTCGCGTTGCTTCTGGTTTCAGCCATAGCTGACGATGTGGTTGTTTTGACTGACGATAGCTTCGAGAAGGAAGTTGGTAAAGATAAAGGAGCTCTTGTTGAGTTTTACGCTCCCTGGTATGATTCGGATGCGATCCTTTTTGCTCTGTAAATCTTCTGTTCGAGAAATGTTTTGATCTGTGATTGCAGTCTTCTGGATTAATAAGCATGATTTCGATTAGTATCGAGGTTTTGGAATTGAAATCGATTTATATGTTGAGCTGAGAGAGGTTATCGATTTCTCAACTTTTGGAATTGGACATGGTTTTAATTATATAGGTGTGGTCACTGCAAGAAACTTGCTCCAGAGTATGAGAAGCTAGGGGCAAGCTTCAAGAAAGCCAAGTCAGTGTTGATTGCAAAGGTCTGTCTGATTCTGTTTCTCTATTCAGCTCCAAATGTGTACCCTTAAGAGATTGATGAATGATAGATTGTTTCAACTTGTGTACTGTGGTGAAGGTTGATTGTGATGAGCAAAAGAGTGTCTGTACTAAATATGGTGTAAGTGGATACCCGACCATTCAATGGTTTCCTAAAGGATCTCTTGAACCTCAAAAGTATGCTTTTACTGTTTATTCTCTTTAAGCAGATTACTTTATTGGATAAGTTTTTGTTTATAGATAGTGAATGGTTTTGGTTTTTTTCATTCATCTTATTAAATAGGTATGAGGGTCCACGCAATGCTGAAGCATTGGCTGAATACGTGAACAAGGAAGGAGGTATGATAGTAGCTAAGCTTGTATCATTGCGGATTATAGATATTTACTTTTGTGAGAAACTTGTTTTATCATGGTTTTTGACTTAAATTTAGTTGGCGACATGTACCAAAATTTGTTTCTGGTGACTTTTATTCTCTGAGATGCAAGTGCGAAATTGCTGGAAATACACTGATTGACGTCACTTTAGGATACATGCTCGGCATTTGTTTTCTCGTACTTGTTCTCTTTATGATTCTTCTTCGATAAATTTTTCTAGTGTACTTGCCTATGTTGCAAACACCTTACATATTGTTGAACAATTATGTTTTCAGGCACCAACGTAAAATTAGCTGCAGTTCCACAAAACGTGGTTGTTTTGACACCTGACAATTTCGATGAGATTGTTCTGGATCAAAACAAAGATGTTCTAGTCGAATTTTATGCACCATGGTAACAATACTTGTTATCTCTCCCCTCACCGTCATGGTTTTGCTTTCATGCTGCTTTCTTCTAATATCAAGTTTCCATCTTCCAGGTGTGGCCACTGCAAATCACTAGCTCCTGTAAGCTCAACTATCTGTTAACTTTTAATATTAATATATATAGTACTCTTTGCTTCATAACTAATGCTTCTTCTTTATATCATCAGACATACGAAAAGGTAGCCACGGTGTTTAAGCAGGAAGAAGGTGTCGTCATCGCCAATTTGGATGCTGATGCACACAAAGCCCTCGGAGAGAAGTAAGTTGGACAAGCATTTATTTTTCTTACCAAGTTTACTGTTTTAAGTCATTTATGTTTTATAAAACCAAAACATAAAGACAAGTACCTTATATTCAGATATGGAGTGAGTGGATTCCCAACATTGAAATTCTTCCCAAAGGACAACAAAGCTGGTCACGATTATGACGGTGGGAGGGATTTAGATGACTTTGTAAGCTTCATCAACGAGAAATCTGGGACCAGCAGGGACAGTAAAGGGCAGCTTACTTCAAAGGTTCGGTAAAAACATGTCTTCTGCAGAATCACCATTTCCCACTAAATTTGATAACTTATGTTGATTCTATCACTCTCTCAATAGGCTGGTATAGTCGAAAGCTTAGATGCTTTGGTAAAAGAGTTAGTTGCAGCTAGTGAAGATGAGAAGAAGGCAGTGTTGTCTCGCATAGAAGAGGAAGCAAGTAACCTTAAGGGCTCCACCGCGAGGTATGTTAGTAGTAACGCTTAATCGATACAACTACTGAGAGTGTTGAAAGTTGTCTCTTTAATTCTTGGGCTTTCTCTATAGGTATGGCAAGCTCTACTTGAAACTCGCAAAGAGCTACATAGAAAAAGGTTCAGACTATGCTAGCAAAGAAACCGAGAGGCTTGGACGGGTACTTGGGAAGTCGATAAGTCCAGTGAAAGCTGATGAACTCACTCTCAAGAGAAATATCCTAACCACGTTCGTTGCTTCTTCTTAAAAGTCATATAGCTTCAAGAGCGCAAAGAGAATAGGAGTCGAGAGACTGTTTTGAGATTTTAAGTTTGTCAAGATCAACATCTGTGGTTATTTCTGGTTAGTTCTGAAACTCTTTTGGACCAAGTTTCTCTGTCTCTGGTGAACCAGCCATCACGGTAATCATAAATTTAAGTAAACGTTTTAATATTTCGTGCTGGCGTAATGGGCGAGGCTCGTGTTCATAGTAAGTCCGTAATGGGTCATTGAGGTATATGTCATTTTTATTTCTGTTAAGGTAAAATAAAACATTTTTCATTTGTATTATTATTCTATTCTTTCAACATCTTTAAAATCTAAACTATTTTAGTCATTGTCCATGCAAATATTAAAAAGTACATCATCTCCGTTACTGTTTCCGTCTATGAAAAAAGTAACTTGAAAGCAATGTGATATACTAGCTAATCAAATAAATTAAGTACGATTATAACGAAACATAAACAAAACAAAAAACTCTCATATTCATGTTTTTTACCCGACGACCACCGCATGCACCAAGAACAGAACTCGTCGAAAAAAAGTCAAAAACGATGAGAGCATTTGTTCTTAATCCATCGGAATCCATTCTTCACAGTCGATTTAACTTTACCTTCAACCGTATAAGCTTTATACCTCGCGATTCTCTTCTTCCTCTTCATCTCCGCATCGCTTAAACCCCAAGACAGCTTCGTCGTCGACGACGCGTTGCTCTTACGCGCCGCTACTTCTCCCGGCGGCGGCGGCGGCAATGACGGAGGATAATCCTGAGTCCCGTAGATCTGATTACTCTTACCACTCACGATTTCCGTACTCCGATCACGAGTCCCGTAGGTTCTCTGATCCGACCCGTACCCACACCCATCGTGACTATCCATTTCCTTTTACCCCGGAGCTCCGACCGGATTATTTATTTCGACTTGAGAAGAAAAAAAAAAAAAAAAAAAAAAAAGCAAAAAGTGAACAGGTGGTGACTTTATTTCTTTATTTTTTAGTTTTATCTTTGGTAAAGAATACAACTGTACACTTGAACAATGTTTGAAATCGGCAGCTGCTGTTAGTTTGCAAAACAAAATTATTGAAATATGCTAACATGCGCATATAAGAATATTAGGAAAGCAACTACTTTGTACCTCCTGCTTTAATTAACAGTCAGATCAGATCCGATCCCTCTTCTTCTTAAGTGTAGAGATAATAATCACGACATACATAATGGGCCAGGTCAGACATTAGGCCTTTTTCCGAATCACACATATGGGCCAAAGTGGATACTCCGGCATCACATAAATGACGTGAGAGGAAGAAAGAGTAGGTGTTAGTTTGTGAGTCTGTCGTCACTCTTTTTATACTTTTAAACGAACAAAAAATATGCACAAGAAGCAGCGTGAAACATTCAAATTTTGTTGGTCCTTTGTTTCTTAGTCTTAATTAAAGTCTGCATCTATATTTTTACGAAATTGTCTGACTATAGTATGACTTTCATTTCCCAATTAATTACGATTCGAATAGGTCCTAAGAGAGACACACACACACAAATCGTCAATCGTCAATTTAATTTTTTTTAAAAAGAAGAAAAATCCTTATCATGCATGAACATTATGTTTAAATTAAACCTTATAATCACGAAAAGAGATCCAACGGTCAGGATTTGTTGAGGGGTTGATAGTGTTACTGTTACTACATCTTAAACACATCTCGCCATTTATTGCAACAGCAAAAACTCTGTACGCTTCATAAATTTGAGTATTGACTTTCCCATTTTGGATATGATCATTTTGTTGTTGTCGGATGAGAAATTAGTCCGTAGCAATTATTTAATGTTTTCCTACATGGATGATTAATCCTTTCGGAATAAACAAATACAATATAGTAGTATATAACTATCATATATCGAATCGAATGCATATCGATCCGTGCTCTTTATAATGAAACCTAGAGTGTCTCCGTCTCTCTCACTAAAATTCTCCACCGCTCACATTCTCTCTCTAGATCTCTAGACACCAATATATATTAATATATATATATAATAAAACACATTGTGATCGAGCAGAGATTGCGATGGAGATAAGGTATTGGCGGAGGTTAAGAGGATACCAAAGGCTAGATGGGTCTGCCAAGAAGGCGAACTCGGGTCGGAGAAATGTGAAGCGGGTCAAAATGGATCCGACCCGGAAGAGACAGTTTTGGAGGATCAAGATTGTGCCGAAGCTAAGGTTCTTAAAAAAGTCGTCGCCTAAGAAGCTTTTAACGTGGCTTCGAGATGCTTACGTCAACATGATGCTACGCCTCGCGAATTCTCGGGTCGTCGGGTCATCGTACGGGTACGGCGAATATGGGTACGGGTCGGGTTTGGCGTCGAAGGAGTATGACGAGAAGAAGCTGGTGGAGATTTACAAATCGATATTGATGGCACAGGGGAATCTCGTGCACCGCGACGTACCTAAACTTTCCTCCAATTCGATTCTACTTTCACCCCTTAGATAATTTAATTATACACATAATATATAACAAAAACGTTGTCGATGTTAAAGTTGTGATTGTGATCTGTATTAAACTTTTAACTTCTAACGACCTAAATTTTAAATTCTCAGTTCAACGGGACGTGTTGTGCCATTGGGAGATTAATGCGTGTTTTTTTTATAATAAATATAACTTTTTTTGGTTGACTTCTTTTTTTGCTTGACTTGACCATTTATGCTTTTAAATTTTAATTCGTATCTTTACGTATGGTTGTGATTGTAAACCGTAAGTAACGACCAAATTTAAAACATTGTACAAGTTACAAAGTAGTACAATCTCCAAATTAGAAGACATCTTTGGGGCATCAACATCCAATAATCAAATTTTTCAAAGTCTCAACGAACCGTCATTGCTTACATCATAAGCACGTAAATGATAAGAAACCTAATCATCAAGCCTTAATTATGGTTGTCTAATCTTATCGTAATTCACGATTCAACTAAAAAAAAACACATATCGATTGAGAGAAAAAAAAAACAAATGGAATAATAGACATTTCACTGTTCCAGTCTCGTCGTCTTCGTTGGTGATAAGCAAAAAGGCCTCGCTCGTCAATTTTAAAATTGTTATCTGCTTTGTAAAACTATATTAATTCTATAAATTAAAGTGTAAACTTTATAGCCAAACAATGCCAAACTATCAACAGTCTGTCCTACATTCTACTAGTATTAGATTCAGTCTTATGTTGCTCAAGGTTTCCCGCCTTGGCTTCTTGGTGTCTTTAGGGATGAGAGAGTTCTTACCTCTGTGGGCTGAAGTTTGTCCTGCTTTTGGCTTTGTGCTTGTTGGAGTGTAATTCTTTTGTTTTTTCCCCTGGTGTTTTATTCACAGGGCTGGTCTGGTTTGGGTGTTTCTTCTACCCCATGGTATTAATTTTTGGTATGACTTCCCTCAAGTCATTTGTAATGTGGTTCTCAGTAATATATAAAGAAATCTACCTTTGTGTCAAAAAAAAAAAACCCCCACATGGCCACATCGACAGTTGGATTCCACGTGGCCATGTTCTGTAATACCCAATTGAAAAATGTGGGTCTGGGTTATAACTTTCATCAAAAGAGCCAAAGCTTGTAACAACATGCTCAGGTGAGGTCCATTGTGCCAAGCCCGGCTCACACATCCAAAAAGAAAAAAAAGAATATTGCATTTTATTTTATTTTAATTAAAAACGTATCAAGTACAGTAGTACTAAACTACTAATAATATGATGGCAAAAAAAAAAAGAACTACTAATAATCATTAGTTGTTAGTTTGCACGAGTAGATAAAAAGGTTTTACTGCTGACCAATGATCCAACTTGTAACTAGAAAAAATCGAGGGTCTTATTAATACCTTATACCTTGTGCTATAAATATTTATTAAAATTTAGTGATATATGCGTAATAAAGAGTCCATAATAATAAATACTTGTAGCAGAAAATATAAAAGATGATGGAAAAGAAGACTTTTAATAATTTGTGGTAATGTTAATAGGGAAAAATGTCGTTAAAATCCCCAACTTATTCAAAACGTTGATTTAAATCCTCAACTCACGACGAAACGAAATAAATATCAAACTTATGTTGACTTTCCAAATAAATATTAAACTTATGTTGACTTTCCAAATAAACACCAAACTTTCATTGACTTGGCCATATTAGGCATGACATTAAGTGAGTTAACAGACAATGTTAACGGGATTAATTCTCTGTTAACAGACCCGCTAATTAAAAATGACAGTATTGTTGAACTATAATCAAATCTCATCTAAGTCATATAACCTAAATTCGTATTCATATAAATTAGTTATTTACGTAAGAGTCACGAATGTACGTACGTATAATTGTGTCTGTTCGTAAAGTTGTGTCTTTTCGATTAACACATGTACGTACACGTTGTTTCGTGTTGTATAAGTAGATCGAGTCAAACTCAATAACATCATTGTGTGTAATACATTTTATCTTATCAATAAAGATCAAGTTTCTTCATACTCTATTTTTCATTTTGGTTTTGTTCTTCATACTCTGTTAAAACAGAGTTCGTTTGTTGATCAAAACACTAACAAGTATTCCTTCTAAACATAAAACGACGTTGTTTTGTCGTAACTGTTCAATAAAATCCCGAGTTTCAAATCATACTCTATTTAGGGTTAGGGATTTTGCTCGATTTGGGGATCTAAGATTGTCTTTAGGGATTTAATTCAATCGTTACGACAAAACGACGTCGTTTTGTTGTTATCTGAAACAATATCGTTATCAATTAACATATATGTTAACAGAAAATTACCTCCGTTAACGAGATCTATTAACCCACTTAACGTCGTACCTAATATGGCCAGGTCAACAGAAGTTTGATATTTATTTGGAAAGTCAACATAAGTTTGATATTTATTTGGAAAGTCAACATAAGTTTGATATTTATTTCGTTTTGTCATGAGTTGAGGATTTATTAACCCACTTAACGTCGTACCTAATATGGTCAGGTCAACGGAAGTTTGATATTTATTTGGAAAGTCAATGAAAGTTTGGTGTTTGTTTGGAAAGTCAACATAAGTTTAATATTTATTTGGAAAGTCAACATAAGTTTGATATTTATTTCGTTTCATCATGAGTTGAGGATTTAAATCAACGTTTTGAATAAATTGGGGATTTTAATGACATTTTTCCCAATGTTAATATGGCAATTACGGCATGCTGATCAGCTGATGGGACCAGAGTTTGGTTGGTATGATTCGTCTGGCTGAGAAAGAAAGTATAAATATATTTTTTTAGTAAACGAAATTGATTATTAAAAAAATAAGAGCCAAGTAAAAATATTTTAAATCTGTATATATTTAAGAAAAAAACGATTATTATTTATTTTTAGTTGTGATATATTTCTCCCTCTTCCGGTAAACAAAAAAAAAAAAAACAGCTTTGTTCTGTTTCTCTGCGATTTCTTCGATGTTCTTCTTCTTCGTTTTGATTTTCAGATTTGTTTAACTCGGTCGCTGCGTTGACTTAAAATTCTTGAGAGAGAGAGAGAGAGAGAGAGAGAGAGAGAGAGAGAGAAAGGAGAATTAAGAGACTCAGAATCAGTCAGACTCGGGATCTTTCTCGGCAATGCGACGCTTGTTCGCCGCGAAATCCCTCTCCAGAGAGGAACCAACCTTTTTGTCATTCTCTTCTTCTTCGGCGACGCGTTTCCACAAGGCTCTTCTTCTTCGCTCTCGTCTTCCTCTCCGTTCAGATCCAAGACATGTCCGCTAATTCTCATCCTCCTAATTCCAAAAACGTCCTCTGCAATGCAGCCGCCGGTGCTGCAGCCGGTAATTATCTGATCTGCTTCCTTCGAAACTTTTGCTTGATTTTGTTTTGGTTGATTCAAGTTTCAAAATTTCTGACAGGGGTTGTTGCGGCTACGTTTGTGTGTCCTCTTGATGTTATAAAAACGAGGTTTCAGGTTCATGGGCTGCCAAAGCTTGGTGATGCAAACATCAAAGGTTCGTCCTTTTTTTTCTTCCTTTAAATCATCTCGGAAATTGGATTCCATTGCTGATGTTAGTTTTAATCATTTCTCGTTTTTGATCAGGTAGTCTAATCGTTGGCAGTCTTGAGCAGATCTTCAAGAGGGAAGGGATGCGTGGCTTATACCGCGGACTTTCCCCAACTGTGATGGCTCTTCTCTCCAATTGGGCAGTGAGTTTTACTTCTTCTTGGAGCTATCCTCTTTAATTCGTATTTCTTGTATTTGGGGACTTATTTGGACTTTCGCAGATTTATTTTACAATGTATGACCAGCTCAAGAGCTTTCTTTGTTCAAATGGTTAGTGCTTTTGAACTCAAAACCTTCTTAATAGCTGTTTAAGTGGCTGTTTCTGCGTCATTTTTAAATCAAAACTCAAAACTTCTTCTCTGTTTGTAATTAGATCACAAACTCAGCGTTGGAGCTAACGTATTGGCTGCTTCTGGAGCTGGAGCTGCAACTACCATTGCCACAAATCCTCTTTGGGTTGTCAAGACTAGACTTCAGGTCCGTTTTTTCTTTGCTTGATATGTGCAATCATAGAATTGTAGAAAGAAACAAAGGGGAACGTTAATTAGTTAGTATAGACCTGCCTTTCCTTTAGCTATTTGGTATTATGCAATTTAGTCCTGAAGAACCTCACCAAACATTGATGTAAATTCGTGTTACAATAAGAATCTATTTCCAACACCTTTTTGACTCTTCCTCAGACTCAAGGAATGAGAGTGGGTATAGTGCCATACAAAAGCACACTGTCTGCTTTAAGGAGAATAGCTTACGAGGAGGGAATTCGTGGATTGTACAGGTTTTTCATCTGGCCTACACTATTTTCCTGTTAACTGATCAAATGTCTTTATTAAATGTCTTCCTTTCTCTCCCTCTTTGTGCTACAAAACAGTGGTCTTGTGCCTGCACTAGCTGGTATCAGTCATGTTGCCATTCAGTTTCCTACATATGAGATGATCAAAGTCTACTTGGCCAAGAAAGGTAAATTGATCCCATAAATCTTTGTGAATTCGATGAAGTAAACAAAAAAAAAAAAAAAAAAGGTGAAATCTTTGTGGAGATATGATAAGATAAAGATTTGTGAACTCAACAGGTGATAAATCAGTCGATAACCTCAATGCTCGTGACGTAGCAGTTGCCTCTTCGATTGCAAAGATATTTGCATCCACATTAACTTACCCGCACGAGGTATACAAACCTCTACTCCTATAGTTATCAGTTTGGTTTTTGGGTTTATTTGAGACATGTTGATCTCGCGGCGTGCAGGTAGTACGAGCTAGGCTTCAAGAGCAAGGGCACCACAGTGAGAAACGTTACTCAGGAGTAAGAGATTGCATAAAGAAAGTGTTTGAGAAAGATGGGTTCCCGGGTTTTTACAGAGGCTGCGCCACAAATCTCCTGAGAACAACTCCTGCAGCAGTTATAACTTTCACTAGCTTCGAAATGGTGCATCGTTTCCTCGTCTCTCATATACCTTCTGAGCAAAGCTCTATACTTTAAATCTCCTTGGTTTTGGTTTTTTTGATGATGACGATTAAAAGTTACTTTACACAGTTAAAAGAGTTTCCCCAAACCTTTTGGGAAATGATTCAAAATAGAAGTTCTTTTATGGGGGAGAAATCAGAATCTGAAGAATGGATTGAAACCTGAGAGACCCACAAAGAAGAATATTAGTGTAAAAAAAAATAACTGATTCTTTTATTTCTCTCTTTTTGGGCCCTTTTTATGGTCTCTCATCGCCATGATCGTCGAGTGTCTGGGCTTCATGCTACTGAAAGGAAACATATATAGTAGATCTTCAAGGACCAATGATTATATATTATTCCTGGTTTTGTTATGAAATTTTTGGGCCTTATGGATTTGTCTATAGGCCTATAGCTGTTAGATGAGCTTTGGATCCATGATATTATATATATTTAAAATTAAATTAAATGAAAAGGAAAAGGCCAATGAAATCGAATAATAATGAAAATGATGGGTTGTTGTTGCACTTTGCTTTTTCCTTTTTGATATCTATGATCTATCTATCAAAAACATGGGATACATTTTTCTTTTTCTTTCACTGGTCTTAAATTGTTGTAAACTTGTAATGTGATATAAAAATGAATCTCTTACTTACGGTTTCATCCATTTTAAAGGCAAACAAAAAGAACTCATTTCTATGGATGCAAAAGGTGTGTTTGTTTGGTAAATGTATTTTGCGTTGATATTCAACAAATTTGTATGGCTAACTGCACAACCACTTACCCTATGTATGCAAATAGTTGTACTATAAGTTAAGTTTTATCAATTCATACAAAAAATATATATGAAAAAATGTTTTAATTTATAATTTTATATTTATATTTTTGAAATAGATAAAAGTTTTGACTTGCTAATAAATCATCATTTAATGTTCACCAAAAAAAAAAATTCATCATTTAATCACTATTTCGTCCATTCATACTAAGTGCATTTGTTCGAGATCGGTTTTACATTTTTGTTTTCTTGGTTGCACACCACAAAGGAAACATATGAATCGAAGGTACATCTTTTGTGACAACATGTGATGGCAGCAATTTGTAATTCCCCCATACGATTTCAATCATGTTTGTGGGATCGGATTACATGTGATCTCACTGCGGTGAGTTTAATTTCTAATACAAATACTCCTTTTTTTTTTTTTAAGGATGTTTTACAGTAAATAAAGTCAATACTAGTAGTAGTTAGCTAATGCATTAATTAGTAGTATGACTAATCATCTCCCATGTCGTGATTCCAGTTCAAGAGCTTAAGGATGATGGGTAAAATTTAGCTGACGCACGCCGTTATGTTTTACCATAATGCTTTTACTTCAAATTTGCAACAAACCTTTTAACAAACATATAGTATTATTAAAAATTGCAACTCCCATTTCATACAACAACAAAAGATTGCAACTCCTAGTCCTAGCTAGCTATAATAATCTAACATTTGATTATAAGATTTTCAGGTTAGGTCTCATTTTATTTTTGTGCTAATCCCTTTAAAACAATGGAATAAAAGGTAGATAATTAGGGGATAAAAGATGCTTTAGTCACTTAGAAAAAAAAAGCAAAGGTATTGAAACATCAAAAACTGTCATGGAACTATGATTGAATCCCACATGCTCTGTTTTTCATCTTTATTCTTTCTCCTCAATTTTGTTTAATCAAAAGTTTTTTCTAAAGGTAATTAATTACAGTGATTTATAATGTTAGATAATGATGATATATTAATGGTTCTACTATTTCATCACCAAATTAATTATTATGTTTTACATTAGCCGGCTCCTCTGATATGGTTACATTTTGAAATTTCAAATTTTCAATTTGGAGAAAGAAAAACAATCTTTATGCTTATTTTGTTTGGTTTGGTTAGGCGTGAAGGAAGCGTGGGTAAGACACGCGCCAACGTAGGCGAGTGGTCTTTTCTCTTGTTCGTAAAAAAAGAAAATGTAACCGAAGCCACGTGGCAGTTAGCGATTCGTTCGTGTAATTGACTTGGGTGACAGTCGGTCGTAGCACCAACCACATTCGATTTTCTTTGTGAGACGTGGGTCCTCGTCAAAGACGCTCTACGTGGGGTTACAGGCTAGGCTCGGTATTCCGAACCTGATAAGGTCCGGCTCCGAGGCGCTGATTTGAATTTTTTGAACGTTGAAGCTAACCCACTTTGGTTCGTCTCTCTATCTTTACCATATTTTTCCTTTATGTAGCAATTGTTTTCTTAAAGTTGAAATTATTATTATTAATTATGATATGTACATATATAATCTTAGAAAATATCGCCGTCAATGTTTGGTGGTATGGTGATCTCATTTGACACCGTAGGATGTTGACACGTTGCCCATATACATTGTTTATTATCGATCAACATGGAATTCAAAACCGTGATTATATATATAACTCCATGTCCCTAAGTGCGCCAGTTATGTTATGAGAAAACTGATCAATATTAATTACATGATTAATTCTTTTAATATTACTCGAGTTACTTTTTAATGATCTAAAGTCAAGTCTGAAGATGATTATATTTTAACGAGAATATTACGTAACTAGATTTGAACCCGCGGTACACCGCGGGGCTATAATTTTTTTTAAAAAAATCTAAATATAATTAGTTTTGTTTATTAATAGAGAGTATAATATAATATTTCGACCTATTTTATAAATGTATCATCCATATATCTATATTAATAGTTTTGAGTATATTAATTGTGTTTTAGGTTTAAATGGTATATCTATATATACACTTAAACGACATTTGACTTTTTTCTTCTTCTTGCCTCAGTTTAGGAGAAAGATTTTTCTTGCGGTACACCGCGGAGCTATTATTTTTAAAAAATATTTTTCTTCCTTAAACTTCCAAATCTAGATTTTACCCCGCGGTACACCGCTAGTCGATTTTTTTATAACTAAAAAATTATTTTGCAAAATTTTAAGTTGTATTTGTTTTGTTAATATTGTTATTTTGTTTAGTGTTTCTGATTTTATAATTAAATTTTGATTTTTAATTCTAGGATTTCATCCATAGTATATTGTTTAATATTAATATTGATCCAAACCCGTTGCACCATATAACTCCGTCCCGTAAAATTAAACATCATTTGTTATTTTTTTAATAATATTTTTATGCACTACGGGTCGCAGGTTCATGCGGATAAGCCCGTAGAGAGTTACGGGTTTGCGGGTAGACCCGCCAAAAGAGAAGCTATCGTTTGAAACCCTTTGTTTTGTTTAGAGGTTTTAAGAAAATATCCCTAAAAAATAATTTTCATTATATGAAAAAAAAGAAGTAGAAGAAATTGTAGTATCAACATTCCCGATTTTTACATCACTCGTTACAATTAATTTTTTTTTTTGCAGATAAAAATCAGAAGTTAACTAAGTCGAAATTTTCAAAAAGATTGTGTATAGATTTTTGGTAAATTGTTGAGAACATATTTGATTTCAAAATCTTTACTTAAATAGATAAGGAAAGATTTTGTAGAGACTTTTGCTAAATATATGAGAAATAAATTTCAAATAAAAATCTTTACTTAAATAAAACAAATCTAAATAATTAATGCTAATGGCATGTCATTGTAAATACTTCTCAACTTCATGATTTATTTGCTAATTGTGATCCAAAAATGTATATATAGATAAATACAAAGTCATAAATTAAACAACCGTTATATCACATAATTTTGATGGGAAAGAATCCTATGTTAGTGTTTTTTTTTTTTTTTAATGTTAGTTACCAAATAATGAAATGGATCGGATGTTTTATTAGGCAAAAAACGAGAATAAAATAGTAATTGGGTAATGGACCTAATTTCAGTAACTTTTTTAATGTTAGTTGCTAATGTCATTGTAAATACTTCTCAACTAATTTGGAAAGGAATGTCTCGCCTAACATTCTCCTTTTATATAACAACATTATAAAAATAACAAATCATTGTAATTAATTTTCTTATTGTTAAAGGCTTTTATTGTAAGTAATTGTTGTTTCGCTCAATACTAAAGTATCACTTTTATAAATTTTCTTTCTTTGCTTCTAAAGCATTGCAAAGACGCATGGAATCAACTAATTCACAACTACGGTTCTACTAGCTACATCGATTTGTTGCCGGTTTTAACGATCCATCAGTTATCTCATCTTTATAATAACATTACATTAAAAAAGAAGAAGCTTATATTATCTTTTCACGAGCTATGAAAAAAAAAATAGAAAATAAAGTAATAAATGTTTATGTAAATTTGGAGATCCATTCCTACAAATAAGTTTTAAAATACTAATAGAACATACAAATGAATTATTATTTTTTTTTCAGCACAAATGAATTAATTATATAGAAAAATATACAATCTGGAGTGTGAATTAATTATCACACTACAGTTTCCATGGTTACTAATAATACAAACAAAACACGATCCCACTAAATTTTCTTGAAACGGCAAAACTAATTTGACCATCTTCTAAGAAAAGTATGCAATGATCTTGGATTCAATTAAAAATGATACTAGTAATAATGAAATCGTAGTAGTATCATCTAGTAATAAAAGGAACAATTATCATTGATAAGATGATATAATCCAAATTAAGCAACAATAATATCATAAATGGTAACGAACTTAAATAGAGATATAAATAGCAAGGTTTTAATAAAATCCAAACGGTAGAGGCTAACCGAAATAGATTCTCGCGTGATCTCGTGTCAAAAGAGAAAAAAAAATTGGGTTTGGTTAGGGAGGGAAAAAAGAACGAAGCTAGAGGTTCGGAGTAATAGAGAGAGAGAAGGAGGAAGAGTGAAGAAGACAGAGTATAAAGCAGTTAGCTTTACAACCTTGTATTTGTGAGACCATTCATGGAGATTATGAGTTCACAAATTTTTTATATTTTCTTTTAAATCTCTCATTACCTTTTAAAAATCACTCCAAACTTGTTAACGAGGAAACAATAAAACAAAAAAAATCTCTATCTTTTTTTTCTCTATCTCTCTCTGATCTTTTTTGGATCGGACTAGTGTCATTCGCAGTGAAGTTTCCTACTTTGGGGTTTTGTTTTTTGATGCTGTGAGATTATTATTACGGAGTTGATCATGGCGGCTACTGCGACGGAGGATGGAGGATTAAGCTTCACGGTGGCTTCGGTAATGGAGGATGTGTTGCAGCAACATGGAAATGGGCTTAGAGATCATGATCTAGTGTCTCGTCGAGCTGAAGAAGC